CTGGCCGCGGTCCCGGCCTGTGCACTGCGGCCTGAGTCCAGCTTCCCCGGCCTCTCCGGCGGGGGCTGACCGCGGCACCCGGCCTGGGCGGGCCGTCCCAAGCCAAGCCTCGGGCCTGCACCACCGCCAGGACCCCCGGGCCCCCGGCAGCACCAGACACGTTTGCTCTCCGCAGGCCACAGCATCGCGGTGAGCCGGGGCGGGGCCCACGCAGGCACTGGGCAGGCCCCCGCGGTTCTCGCGGGCCTGGGGCCCAGGGAGGGGCCGGGGGTACCGTGTCCCAGAGAGGGCGGCAGGCCAAGGGGACAGGAGGGCCACGGGCCAGGGCTCGCTGGACAGAAGCACCGCTCTCCCCACGCCCCTGCAGAAGACCCCGGCCGAGCAGGGCAGCGCGAACGCCGGCGCCCACAGAGCGCTGCCATCTCTTCCCGGCCAGGGGCTCCGGCTGCCCGCACTCGTCAGGGCCGGCCGGGGTCAGCCGGCGCGAGCGCCAGACACAAGGGACACCCGCCCCGGCATCCGAGGGCTCCCAAACCGCCTCCCGGAGTCAGCGCCCTGGCCAGGCCGGGCAGGGGCGGTGCCGCTCCAGAAGCCACAGCCGCGCCCCTCACCTGAGGCCCCGCCCCCAGGAGCAAGAGCAGCCGCGCACACCAGCTGCGCCCGGCGCCGGCGCCGTGCCAAGGGCACCTGCCAGCAACGCGCTCAGGACTCCTTGGAGACCGCCAGCCCCGGGCCCTGAGAGCCGCGGGGGCCACAACCGGGAACCAAGACGACTTTCCTACCCCCGACACGCGCAGACCGAGGGCAGCAGGAGGCACGCAGCGAGCGCACGGGGCTGTGCAGCGGCAGGCAAACGCGCGGCCCGCAGGCCCCGACGGCGCGACAGGCCGCCCGCCCCGCCCCACTCACGCGTCGCCGTCCGGGCACAGGCCGCCGGCCTCGTCGTACTTGGCGCAGTAGACGTCGGGGCTGTAGTTGAAGGTGCCGTCGCGCCCGCGGAGCGGCCGGCGCCGCCGCTGGTTGAGGAAATGCCAGTGGAAGCAGGTGAAGGGCCGGTGCTGGCCGCACTTGTGCCGCACGAACAGGGCGCACTGCCCCGT